AGGAGGCCCAACCAAGTATTGAGTGCATAGAAATGAACATACTTTTCAGAAGCCTGACATTTCTGTTTAAAATATCCTTTTTTTTATTGATCTTATTTAATATTCTAATTTTCTGAGACACTGAATTTTGGTCTTTCATTATCTGTAAGCCATAATCATCAAAATTTCAAGAAATAAAGGCTTGAAATATTTCACTCTATGTGTAGTGAATCTATATAATATATGGGTTTCACTTTCTGAAATTAGTGACAAAAAATATTGACCTTTTTCATGATATTCTAATTTTTTTAGATGTACCTGTAGTTGTATACAACAAATAAACTAGGAAAACTAGGATTAGGAAAGAGATGGATAGTATGTTAACATAAAGTAAATAAAAGTGTAGAAAAAAAAAGAATATAGAAAGGTCTTTCCCCTATCAAGAGCACATTTCCATTTTTTCATTACAATAAGCATGAAAAAGAAATTACAGTGTTTTTATCAAATCAACAACACAGTCACACTTTATGACATTAAACACAAACAGAAACCACAACGAATGGATCACATTAGCGTATAAAATGGAATGTATTATTCCATATAATGAAAGATTATTAATCTTTCACACACACACACACACACACACACACACACACACACACACACACACACACACACACACACACACACTTTGTGCAGTAAAATAAACATGTACAAATATGACTGCATTACAGACCATCTATATTTCCCCATGTAAAGGCGGCAGTATAATATCCATACAAATGACAGACTAATACTCATTATATATTTCAGTAAATCCTTTGCAAATATAAGATGGCAGCACACGCAATGAGAGCCAATTCAAAGCAGCACTGTCAACTACACTTGACAACTCTGATATCTATAATGTATGAGACTCCATTTCTGTGGTGAGGAACTTGTGCTGGAAAACAGAAAGATGCGTCTGTGTGTGTGTATGTGTGTAGAGGAAGAATGAAAGGAGTGCTATCAATCATTTGACTCATCAGTGTGTTAATGTCTGCATGCTTGTCAGCATGGGTGTGTATGTGTGTGTGCGTGTGTGATGAGATCAGGCTCATCTCTATGTCATTATGGAGCAGCTCATAGGTTATCAGGGGAGGTGAGAGCTATTTATAATGCCTCTTTCCTTTACCTTCCTCTCTCTCTTTTTCTCTCATACACATGCTGTTCCTAACACATGTTCTCTCTTCCTACCATCTCTCTCTCCCCTTGACCAACTTCTCAAGGTGGGGTGGCAGACAAGCATTTATCCTAGACACTATACATTGACAGTCCGCAAACACATACACCTACGTATGGATGCAAATTCACGTGCATGCTGCATGTCCTCACACACTGGTAATATTCTGGCCTACACATTTATTGCGGAACAAATGGGGCACATACTTCAAATACCCAATCAAAAACAGTCGACACATCATTTACTTCAGACTGTCTTATGGGGAGGTACATATTAAAGAGCTGTAATTCCTTAACCTTTGCTCCAATTGTGATGAGAATACCCTCACATTAAAGCTCAGAGTAAGCACTTTAAGCCCATATTCATTATATAACTGTAACTTGAATATGCTTTGGTCAACAGCTAAAATAATAAAAATTGTGCCTGTGTCCAAATATATATATGGATCTAACTGTACCTACAGTTTGACCTAATGTAGTGGTTCTTGACCTTTTTAACTTTTTTGACACTCTAGCACTATTTTTTTTTTACTTATTTGAATGTATGGAAAGTCCTTGTGAATAAATAAATTAATAAATTAATTAATTTTAAAAAAGCATTTAAATGAACTCTGAGTGCAACTTCAGCATGTGAATGCAATTATTGCAGCATTTGAATATTTGCACACAAGTGCTCTTCTGTTGACTGCTTGACTGTTGAAGTAATTGCAGTGCACATAATGTTTGGCTTTAGAATTTGCTTTGCAGTGGTTCTCAACCTTTTACATTTTTTTGACTTATTGACAAAGGCCCACCATTGTCTACAACAATATTTAAATGCACTCTAGCACTATTTTTTGTACTCATTTTAATGTATGGAAAGTCCTTGTAAATCGATTGATCAGTCAATCAATCAATCAATCAAAGAAAACTTATTTAACCAAAAGCAGGTCAAGCTTGGAACAGATAGAAACCATGTAAATTCAGCTATCAGCTATCAGAATGTCTTAACTCTGAGTGCTACTGCAGTTTGTAATTGTAATTATTGCAGCATTTGTATATTTGCACACAAGTGCTCTTCAGTGCTTGACTGTTGAAGTAATTGTAGTGTGCATAATGTTTGGCCTTCTTAGAATTAGCTTTGATTAAAAAAAAGCATCTAATAGAATATAATAGCAAATGTAAATGTAATGTCCTCCAGACATTCTGGTTCAGAGAAATGAATGGAGAATATACACACAAACACACATCTATGATGTGTTTTTGATTTGCTATTAATTTAATGCTTTGCATATGCAAAGTTAAGTTAACATTTTGGAAAATAGCCCAAAACAAGCTATAAATCTAGCAAAAAGCTATAAAATCCTCAACATCTTTGGGAGTTTATTTCCTGTGCATTTTGAAAATGTCATTATATAGTTGATCACTCACTCAGTGATTTCCTCGGTAACCGTATGTTCCACCTGTAGACGGGAGTTCACCTCGATGAAGTAGTGTTTTCCATGTTTGTCCACTAGGAACTCCACTGTGCCTGCGTTCTCATAGCCCACCTATGGAAAAAAAAAAAGAGTTGTAGCGTTAGCACAAAAATAGGTCCCACTTTATATTAAGTGGTCCTAACACCTGTGTACTTACATAGTAACTAAATGTGTACGTAGTATGTAACAGTGTATGTACACATTGGTACATAGTATCTAGAGCTGTAATACTTCTGTAACTACACACATGTAACAACCCTCCGAATGGTTTGTGTAAGTACAAATGTATAACAGGACATATATAACTGCATTTTGTAACAACATGTATAAGAGTAATTGGAACAATTTGATCCAGGGAGTGGAGATGGGTAGGTTTAGGGGTGGAAATGGGTTGGTTGGTTTAGGGATATGTAAAGTGGGAGGAGTTGGATAACAAGTTGGTGGAGTTGGTGCACCACTGTAAAACCAGTGTACTTATGGTTGGTTTAGGGATATGTAAAGTGGGAGGAGTTGGATCACAAGTTGGTGGAGTTGGTGCACCACTGTAAAACCAGTGTACTTACACGGTAACTCCTCAGGAACTGTTTACTTAATATAAAGTGTAACATTCTGGACACCAACCACAATTTATATGTAAAGCCTAACTTACTGGCCGCTGCTGTGTAACATCAGAGTAATTACATGGTAAATCCATAGGAATTGTTTACTTAATAAAAAAAAGTGTAACTTTCTTTACCAAAAAGTGCTGTTAGTCCTGTTACACATTTGTACTTTCATTACCAAAAAGTGTTGTCATCAATGTCCTGTTACACATTTGTATTTACACATACCATTCAGTGGGTTGTTACATATGTGTAGTTACACAAACATTACAGCTGTAGATACTGTAGATATGTATACAGCTGTAGATATGTACCAATGTGTACTTACACTGTG